TGCCTCAATTATTTCGAGAGACGCCATAGAGAGATAGTTCTAATGGTAAAAGATTCTCTTCTAGGGATTAAATATCATTTTTTAACCTGTTAATGGAGTCATAATTGAAAAAGTTTTAATAATGAAACACAACGCAAAGACATATCATTCAACACATAGCACCAATACAATGAAAACCAAAATGACGCAATTTAACTACGCTAAAACTCAACAAGGCAAAGCGTTGTTTATCTTGGACGGACACAAGTTCATGAAAAAGCGAGACCCCAATTCTACCACTCACTGGCGTTGTGCAAAATGGCCAATGACTCTAATAACTTGCGACGAAACCATTATTTCGTTCAATCACGAGCACAGTCATGAGTTTAACCCGGGTCGCGTATAAGCAAGGCAGCTAGTTAAGCAGTTCAAAGAAACAGCAAGATCATAAACCAATCCTGTAAACAACCAGTTGATAGAAGCTAGCCTCAAGAATGTGAACAATGATCCGGCAATTCAGCTTTCACTTCCTTCACGTGCAGCCCTGACAAGAACCCTCAATAGAAACAAAATGCAAGAACAAAATGCAGTGATTTAGTCGACCGACCGTCACTTCGACATTCCCGACAAAAATTTACCTTTTGTCTACATGATAGCGGAAAAGAAGACAATGGGCATTTCCTTTTTCTCGGGGACATGGAAAATTTAAATGCTCATCGCATTCATAGCAAAGTTTGGCTTTGTGATGGAACCTTCAAGATATGTCCGTCTCAGTTTTATCAATTTTACACAGTACATATCCAGATTGGCGGCTTTTATCCCCCTGTGTTTACGTTTTGCTTAGAAACGAAAAGCAGTCCACTTACAACAGGTTTCTTGATGCCCCGATTAGCCTTATTGGAGGCATCGTAGTCAAAAAATTCTCATCGACATCGAACAAGCTGCCTTAAACGCTTTTTCGTCCCTATATAAAACTGAAATCAAAGGTTGCTACTTTCATTTATGCCAAAGCTTTTATCGCAAGCTTTTAGAGTTAGATCTGAAAAAAAACTATGAAAACAACTCTAAGCTAAGCTTAACCTTAAAAATGATCCCAGCTTTAAGCTTTATTCCTCTCTCAAATGTCGAATCTGCGTTTATTCTTGCCATAGAAAAAATTTACCAATCTGCCAATCAGTCTGACATTCTAATTGATATCCTCGTGAAGATTGACGAGCTCGCATCATGTTTCCAGAAGACTTATATAAAAGGAAAAACAATTGGTCGACATCAGCGTGATCCTTTGTTCCCCCAGCTCTATGGAATCATTACGACAACGCGGCGGCTGGTCTCATTCGAACAACCAAGGCAGTTGAAGGCTGGCATAACGGCGTTACGTCGCTTTTCCAGGGCAGCCACCCCTCAATTCACACGTTTTTAGAAAAAAAATCAGCTTGATTCTTACAACCAGAAGTTCAATATTCTGAAAGCAACCAGCGTTACCACCATACAAACCCGTAGAAAGTACTGAGAACTCAATGAAAAAGTCCAAATGACAACTTACTTTTATAAAAACTCAAATATTGTAATTTAAGTTCAAGCTCTGGCATTTTTAACACTCTTCTTGATTCAATTTATCAAAGTGTCTGCATAATTTTCTCAAATTGTCGACATTTTGTTGCTTTTTTAATTGATTTGCCAAAAATCACAAAGTTTTTTGCTTTATAGCCATCGTAGAGGTACCATTTTGTGGGAGACTATAGAGGTCAATACGACAATAATTTTGCCTTGGGGACAATTTTTATCGATTTCGAACTAAAACTTTTGATCCAACGTGAATCGATCGTTTGATTTTTTGACCACTAGTCTTATTCTTTAACCATCTTGCCAAGTAAGCTTAGAAAGGCATATTTTATTGCTTTGATAGTTCAAAAGATTGGTAGAAATAAAACGTGCGTTCAAATTTTCACGCTTTGAACTGACTTTGACTCCACGCGTTTTTCCAAAAAGTAGCATTGCTTTGATTGGTTTGTTCAATTTCGGCATCTTGGTTTCAATTCCTTTGATTATTCTATTGCAATCTTTTAATTGTCTTTAAATGCTCTTTTTACTTCTGGGATATTTTTGACTGGGATAACTTCGCCTGGGATAAAAAGGTGAGGTATACATTGTCATGAAATCGTTTTTTTTACTGATTCAAATGTATTTTATCATTTAAAACAAAAAACAAAAATTCTAGAAAACAAAAAACAAAAACAAAAATTCTTTACATAAATTTTCCTTGTGATTTTTGCTTCAGTGTGAAAACGCTGAATCTGGCCTACTAGGCAAAAGTTTAAAATTTTTGCACTCAATGTTTTTTCTTTGTAAAATGTTAGTTTGATTATGAAACTGGTTTAGTAACACACTTAAGAAAAAAATACTCATTCGATTTTGAAGTTTTTGTATGGTTTGCCGGGTGAGTGTTTAATTGGTCAATAGCTGAACAATTTAGTCTATTCAGTTGACTTGATCATAAGCCATCTCCACGACAGCCCACTCCCCGGAAAACGCAAAATTCATTCGCCAAGTTTTTTTCGTTCAGTTCTATTGGTATCTTTCTTTTAAGTCATAAATCATTGTTGGGTTATCGTGAGGATGGCTTATGACCGCAAGTGTAAAAGGAATACGCAAACTTTGAGCGGATTCTGCAACTGTAAGCGGATTCCACAAATTTGTTTTATTTTCCAAAAAACTGAACCAGTTCTGACGTAAACATTTAGGACTTATAGCTAGAAAGAGTATCTGAAAAATGCAGAATTTAAAATTAAAGATTTAAAATTTGATAGTAAAATCCACCAAAAAATCTCAAATCCTGACAAAACTGCGGATGAACATCGTCAAAAATTGGGTAAAAATTACCAGCATGTATTTTCAATTTGAAACTTTTGAAATTGAAAATAAATTAGCTGGTTGTAAATTACTACCAAAAACTTTATCAACCTCAACAGTTGTGGGATAAAAAGAAACCACCTTTAATAACTTTTACTGATGCAAGTGAAGCAGGTTTTTGGTGATATCAGTAGTGTAGATGAAGTTGAAAACAAATGGCTATTTCAGTGTTTGAGTTGAAGATTTTTGCAGCTGTCAATATTAACTGTTTTTCAAAGTCTATTATAAATAGCTATTTCAGCAACTGAGATAACTATAATTGAGATAATCGAGATAAACTCGATACGATATTTACCTTTTCAAATACTTAAATACTAATTGATGACATCGTGTTTTATCCCAGTTGTTGATGTTGCTGTTAACCTATTTTCTTATTATGGCCTGATTCATATGGCTGATTGTGACTTCTAAATTAATATTGATGATTTTTATCCTAAGTACCGATGACTGAGAAATAAATCTCATAACGGCTTCTTGTCAATCTGTATACTATCTTACACGCTTTAAGAAGAACCACGAAAATTGTCTAAAGGTAAAAAAATGAAAGTCTCCAAAAAACAATTTAACCAATGAATTTATATGTTAACAATTTTGATTGTTACCAGTTTAATCTTGTAAACATTTGTTACTGGGTTTCGCAAACAAAATCAAATAAGGATTCCAATAAGTTTTGCGGATTCCAGTTCCAATTGCGGATTCACAACAGCGCAGTCTTATTATGGAAATAAATTTTCAATTGTTTGAGGATTCCACAAACTGTTTTGAATACCGCAAATTTTGTTGCGGATTCCTCAAATTTGGCTGTTTTTGGAGCAATTTGGAGCAATACAGTGTTTTGGCCATTTTTTGTGGAAACTAAAACAGCAAAAAGATTTTTTGAAAATAGCCGCGTTGATACAAAGTTTGGCCTCGTAATGTTCTTTGTTGTTTTTGAGGTAACCAGAAATGAGTTGTCAATTGATGACGTATACAAATCAAAGTTGTACAATTCTGTCTAGTTCGAATTTAAGAAAAAAAAACGATTTTCGCTTTGATGAAACAACAGAACTTTTCAGTCGATTTCAATGCGGGAATTCTGCAGCCCTGCTGATGCGTATTGCGAGTCCCGAGACACGAGATGTTTATGAAAAGACCTGGCGGCTATCTGCGCTTAAGATTCCACAGAAAGTTACTGCTTTTGAGGAGTCTTATAAAACTCATACAAGCAACACTTTCAAGAACTGTTTTGATTTTTGCGCACGAAATAGTTTTTTAGAGTCTCACCGTCAAAATTGAACCTTCCGTTGGTAACTTACGCTGTCCACGAATAAGCAATGTAAGTGTCCACAATTAGGTCACTCAAAGTAAGTGTCTATGCCATTTTCTGCAAAAAGCTCTATAAGCAGCGTTAGCTGTATGGCTCTAATCACAGCAGTCTAGAAACTGTATATTCAAATGAAGTTTAAAACAATTAGTTTTAGTTTTGCGTTAGACAGTACACAAAAATACGTTCAACGACTAATCTAATCTATCCGGTTAAATCAGAAGCTTCGTACTGGTTTGTTGTAAGCCGCCACTGACGTGTTTCGTTTTTTAACAGTAATTTGTTTTCAGCAATTTGATGAATATTTAATATTGTAAAACAAAATTATAAAGACGATTTATCCGCGAAGGAAACAACAACGTACGAGCTGCTTAGCTCTCTACGGAGAACCGTTGGTAATGTTGCCTCGCCCTGAGCCAACAAGCTCGGATGATGGGTCGCCTCGAATCTCGACCCGTTGAATTGACAAGCAGATACTGTGGAACTTTAGTTAGTACAATTAGTTGCTTACTTATGGTTTTTATATGGTAAACATCAGGTCAAGGATATATGATTCAAGATCATTAGTACCGAAACCACTGAATTGAAGTTCTCTGAGTTTTCTGGCTGTTGAAGCCTCGTACTCATTAGTAAGGTCAGGTTTTTTGTGCTTTTGTCACTTTCTTCAAAATGTTCAGTATGTTGTTGTACAAACTGGTTTCAAAAACTGAAAATAGCTCGGACATAAGTCAGACTGTATTCATCCAAAACAGTGCGACAGTGTACAAATGAATGAACAGCAATAGAAGTATTTGAAAGTGAGACTGACCTTGAGCACTTGTGGGAGAGTGGGTGTGGGTGTGGGCGTGACAGGTGGGGGTGGTGTGTTGTTTGGCCATGAGTGAGTTACAGAGGGCGAAGATGTCCCTCCTCCTCTGCAGTTCCTGCACTGTGATCCTCTGCTCCACCAGGCGGGCACTGCACACCTCCTCGTGAACAGAGGCCAGTGCCAGCACTCCCCCTGCTGTAACAGCCGCAGCCGCCACCGCCGCCACTCCGGGTGGGGGAGGGGAGCAGGGGGATGGAACAAGAGTTCCCTCTTCACTGCCATTCCCACTTCCTCGTCTACCTTCTACTCCAGTTCGAGAACTTGGAACCTCTGTAGAAGCTGGGAAAAATACAGCAGATCCTGTAGCGCCCATGATGTCGCCTGACGGCATTGTTGCAAGAGGAGCTGTTGCACTCGAGTTAGATTCTAGGATGGAGGACAGCAGAGGAGTGTCTGGGTAGAGGGTGCTGACGGGACCGATGACTGGAACTGGTCTGGTCGCCAGTGAAGGGCATCCCAAAGATGTTGAGGCAGAAGAGGGGGGTTGTCGATGATGATGATGATGATGAGGGGAGTGGTGATTGAGAGGAAGTGTGGTTGACAAGTGTAGCGGCCACAGTGACTCATCAAAAGAAAGTGACAAGTTACTATCAGTATCTATGCTCGCACAAGATCCCTCCATTCCCACTGAAGATAGGTTTAGAGACAGGTGCTCGGCAAAAACAGGTGCAAAATTGAGGCCTGAACTTGCGCTGAGTTTGAGACTGGAGCAAGGTGGCTGCACCAAAACTGGTGAACTAACAGGAATCGAAGAAGAAACAGGAGGTTCGGGATTTGAAGTAAGCCTCGACTGTTCCGTGGCTTCAATAAAGTGTTCATCCTTCTCTCTGATAAATGCCTCATCTGCCTTGGGTTCCTCAAAACATAAAGAGTCCTCTATAGTTTGATGGAAGTGAAATGAGGATCCCGATTGCTCAATAGGCTGCCTCTCAGAAGGTAAATTGTCGGAAGAAACGGGCGGCAAAAAGTTATTTACATCAACAGAAACTGATTCTTCCATTTTATTCGCATGATCGTCTTTTGCCGCATTTACTGATAATAATACAGCATCCTTTTTCACATTCTGACGACCGGAAAAAATCTGATGATCATAATTTTCAACTGTGAAGTTTGAATTTGGCATGATACAATCTTCACTAGCTCCCATAGAAGTTGTTTTCGATAAGTTATTCTCTAAGAGTTTCTGGATTTCGATAGCTCGTATCTCTTGAACTTCCTTTTCAATTTCGAGATCTATGATTTGTTTGCTGTCTTGAATCTTCCAATCATCGGCAAAGTTCTGCTCATTTTCAACATCATCTGGTGATTGATTCGGTTCTTCTTCTTCGTCGTCGTCTTCGTCTTCGTCTTCATCTTCGTCTTCTTCTTCTTGGGTGGAGAGTGCGTTCATCATTTTGAACTGACTCTGGCCTGGTTGGACACAATAGCTCACTTGGAAGATATCGGTCTCAAGGTGATCCTCGTCATCAAAATCAACATCATCGTCCTCTTCTTCATTTTGAACTCCTTCAACTCCTTCTGCCGTCTCTTCTAGCTCACTAGAGTGATGGTCGTCGCTTTTTTCGGACTCCTCGTTTTCTGTTACCTCTTTTTCATCAATGATTTTTCCCTCGCTATTCGATGGCTTAACTTTTGTTGAGTTTGATTCATGGTCAGCACTACAGGAAGTTTTGTGATGCGAGTCTGGTTGCTCTTCTTCTCTGTCGTCTCTCGGCTGTAACTCATCAAACTTAGTCTGAGAAGTAACTACGGATGGATACACTGCCTTCATTGACCCGGCATCATTCAACGTTTCATCATACGCTTCAAGCACTTCTTGGCTGTCAAGTGACCACGGTGTCTGTTGTAGAATGATCTCGTGATCTGCTATGTCTTCGAAACTGCTGCTCTGATCGGAATCTAGTCTAGTTCTATCACTCACCTTTTTCGCTTCTGAATTCTGCGTTCTTTCACATTCTTCGATCTCTGTTCCGTTTTTGCTTCTTGGAACATGTGAACAATGGTCATCGGGAATAGACGTCCTATGATGTTCATTTTCTTCGTCGGCTATTAAAGAATCCACTCTTTTCCTTTCGTCTTCCTTTTCTTGGCTAAAACTGCCATTATTTTCTGCTTCATCAAGAATATCTCTACTTGGGCTGATATTGGTCTCGTTGATGTTCTGTTCGACTGAGAAGGATGACTTGAGAGTACTGAATGCGGACGATAGAGAGGCAGAAAATGAAGATTCCGACAGTCGCTTGTGGAGATTTCGAACCAAACTCCCTTCTCCCTCCCTTTTGTCCTTGCGCCGTCCTAAACTTCCGCCAAGTGATGCACCCCTATCAAGCTCCCTCGGCTTTGATGACACTTTCTCGCGGCTCCTGAAAACATCTTGACCAGTTGTAACGACCTTAGTCTGTGGTTCTTCTCTGGATAAGTTCTCAGAACTACTTGGCTCAGCGACTCTTGTTTCTGCTGTGCGCATTATATTATCTTTCTGATCAATCGTTCGATCCGATGCAACTTCATCAGTGTGCCCCGTGTTAACTTGTTCAACTTGATCGGCGCAGTGCTGTAGTTCGGAGTCAAGTCCTTGGTGCGAGTCACCGAGCAGATATGTTTCTTGGCTTTGATCATCGTCTACATTGTAACATTGCTTCATAGCGTGAAACCTGTTTTGGTTGTCGTTGTTGTCGTTAGAGTAGCGCTCATAACTGCGCCACTTCCCGTCACTCCCGACAATATCATCAGAGGCATCATCCTCGTCGTCTGTGTCGTCGCACAGACTAGTCTCTCTCAGATTTCTCTCTTTGTCGAAGTCCAAGTCGGGAGGCAGCAGCGAAACATTCATGTAATCAGGCTCCTCGTACTCCTCAATCTGCTCCATGTGCACTTCCCAATTGGAAACTAAAGGTGCATCCAAATCATTCAGTTGGGGTTTAAAATCAGAGGAAAAGTCGGTTTCTGTGATGGTAACTTCTGCATTCATGTAACTGTCTGGCTCCTCGTGATAATCCCATTCTGGCTGCGTAGAATCCAGTTGTGTTTGCTCGCACATCTGGTGCTGCAATCTAGACAACTGGTTTATCTCAAGAAGCACACTTGACACATCTGACAGATCAATGTCCAGCTCAAGCTCGTCCGCCGAGCGCGCTGGGAACTCAATTGATCCCGGAGTGCTGCCCGATGCCAGGTGACGCGGCGCTGGGATAATGTCAGTTTTGGGAATGTCAAAAGTGAAAAGTTCACAGCTGGATTTGGACTTGTTTATCCCATTGGACACTTTCCAGTTGCCTCGACAAGGATGCAAATCTGAAGTGAGAGCGTTGGAAGAAGTCATTGTGTGGCTAGACTCTTCTCGCTTCTGTTCGAACTCTAGTTTAGACTCCTCACAGTCTTCATGTCGGTCGGGATCTAACAGCCCAGCATCTGCAGTGAGAGCTTGGTACTCGGAGGGATCACTTTTGACAAAGAAGAGTTCATTAGCGACTAATGGAAAATGATTACTTTCTGAGTAGATATCACGAGACTGTTCTGCTCCTTCCGATGGCGTTGGTAAGTGCTGCTGGTAAGAATAGCTTTCTTCTTCTCCTTCTTCTTCTTCTTCTTCTTCTTCTTCTTCTTCTTCTTCTGCTGGGGTAAAACAGTGTTTATCAATGGGGTAATGGTCTACAGGTTCAAAGCCAGTGTAACTTAATTCAGACCACTGCAAAGTGTGAGACTGTTGGTTGGAGTCAGCGTTATTTGTAAACAGTGTTGTTGTGCTGTTTGTGGTGACCGCGTGGCTTTGTTTACTCAGGCAGGAAGCGGCCTCAGGGGGTGCACTGTCACCCCGCAAAGCAGAAACAGGAGGAGGGGGAGGGGGAGGAGAGGAGGGGGGTAGTCGCATTAGTAACTGATTGGAAATTTCCCCTTCCTCTTCCCCTTCCGGCTCCCAGTGACTTGTTGCCACTGCCGCCGCCGCCGCTCTTTCTCCCAAAATCCCACCGGACTCAAAGTCATAGCGAGAACCAAGTAGAAGCTCATTTGTCTCCTTATCTCTGTCTCTAAATGCGTCCAAACGAATCTGATCACGTCGATTGATCTGCTCCCTCAAATCACCCATATTTTCATACTCGTAATCTGCTTCTAAGGCTGAATAATCGCATGTTAATTGGCTATAATAATCCCACCCTTCCTTCCCATCATCTGCAGCTAATGATGGAAAGTTCTGAGATGTTGTCGCTGCATGTTGCTCGACTAGACTTTGAGACCCCGTTTGGACATTTTGATGTGAGGGAGGCAAATCATGCGGCGGATGCTCTCCTAATCTGCTTGAGTCTGCTAGCGAGCAGTGATTAATCGAGTATTCATGATACCCTAGTGCAGTGTTGTAACTGCTTTGCTCTTTTGACTGCAAACTAAGAGAGTTCACGTTGATGTAAAGTTCTTCTTCTTCTTCTTCTTCTTCTTCTTCTTCTTCTTCTTCTTCTTCTTTTCCCTCTAGCTTGTCTCCTCGATTTATGTTGAAAAGAGGCCCGTGTGTTGCGGGTATCATGTATCTGCTGTGGTCTCTTGTGCTGTCCATACTCTCATAAGCAATATTAAACTCGCTTCCAGGGCCTGCAATTCAAAAACAAATCCGTTATTTAAAAAACTATTATTTATTTCTCCTCATCAGATAAACCAATTTTTTAAAATTAATTTCTAGGCAAACCAAGATTACAATACCGGCTGCTTCAAGTAAAACTGGATATTTAATTGCAATGCGTTCAGATTTTGCATCAAAGTTTAAAAATCTACAAGGGCAAAATGGTCTAAACACTAGTAAAGGTACAATAAAACGTGAGGTACTACAGTTCCCAGCTCTTAGTGCGACAATTGGTGGCAGGCGACCTTAGATACAATCTCAAAAAGAGACACTTCGTCACAGAGCAATTTGCCACAGCACTATAAAAACTAAGTTCAAACAAGACTGTTTGTATCAGAAAGAAGCCCAGAATGTTCTGGGTACCGTATAAAGCCTTTGGTTGACAAATTGATAAATTAATCAGAAAAGGATTAAAAAACGTGTGCTCCAAGTTTCGGATTTATATTAGCCAAAGACTGTTTGAACGGAGTCTGAGAGCTAATGTTTGCACCATCTGAGATCTATTGATGTTTTGAGCTCAAAATAAAAAAAAAACGTTTTATTGACGATTTTTTTGATATTTTATGGGGGTTTAAAAATTTTCAATTTGACCAATTTGGGACAAAAAGAGCGCAAATTATGTCGTACTATTGAAGTATAAGTTAAGTGGCTCTGTTATTAGCATAGACTTAAATGCATCACTCTGTGCTTCAAATAGGTTAAGCGCAAAAACTTTGCAAAAAAATGGAGCAAAAATAATTTTGTAAGATTTATATATTGTTCATTTTAATCAAAATTTACGTATCAAACATTCTTACATAGAAATGAACGAGCAGATAGAAATTCAAAGCTTCGACCTTTATACAAGCAATCTCTATTTTTGTTTTTAGGTCGATCAAATTGATTTTTCAAGCTCTCCCACAGCACTAAAAAGTCCCAGTTTTGGCCAAATTATCTGCGCCAAAAATAGCGTTTTTGGGCACTGTTTGGAAAGTTTTAAGCAACTCCCTGCCGACTCAAAGAGTCCCCCTTTGTACTATTTTGAGACATCCAATTTTGGCAGACTGACCCTAAAATTTTTCTAAAGCCGCTTATATAGTATAATTTGGCGCCGAAAGCGGCTTTAGAAAAACTTTAGGGTCAGTCTGCCAAAATTGGATGTCTCAAAATAGTACAAAGGCGGACTCTTTGAGTCGGCAGGGAGTCGAATTCCGGAGGAAATAAGGGGCCTCCGCCCCCGCCTCTGATAGAAATGGTTATTTTCAGCCTGATAACGAATAAATAGGAGCCAGGTGATTTGCGTAGATTAGTTTAGAATTATCTTATGATTTGCTCCTTAAGCTTTTGTAACTTGAGATATACCCAGCTTAAGTTTCTCAGATAGAACAAATTGGCAAATTGCAAACGCCATAACATAGAAAACGCAATAACATAACAACAAATGAAATGTCGCAACTGAAATATCTTTTGATTAACTTTGAGCCAGCAACATTTCAAACTTTTAGATGGTATGGAGAAAACTACAAAAAATGGCAAAATAAAATGAAAAAAGTCTGAAAAAAACCCAATCTTCCGGCATTTCATTCCAAGGTCGAAAAAACAAATTGACTTAACCATGTAAATAAAAAAACGGCCTTGTTTTAGCGGTTGAGGGACTCAATATAATTTTTTAAATTGATTTTTTATGACATGAATCCGGGTTAGTTTTGTTTGATGCGAAAAATCAATTTTCATGACTGCGCCAAAAATTACATTACGATTTCAAGCTTGGTTATTTTTCTGGCGACTTGAGTTCCGAATCCTCACACCGGGAACTAAAACTGCTCGTTTATCAGGGCAAAACCCTGATTGTTCCAACTTCAATTCAAAACAATTTGAAAAGTCGAAGTCAAAACAGAGAAAGTATAGTATGTACATATATATACATATATACTTATTAAATATAAATATATATATAAACAGCTCTATTTAAGCTGAGTATATCTCATATTACAAAAGCTTAAGGAGCAAATCATAAGATAATTCTAAACTAATCTACGCAAATCACCTGGCTCCTATTAATACGTTATCCGGCTGAAAATAATCATTTCGATCAGAGGCTGGCGCAGACGCCCCTTATTTTCTTTCGTCCCACTTTGTACTATTTTGAGATATCCATTTTTGGCAGACGGACCCTAAAATTTTTCTAAAACCGCTTTCGGCGCCAAATTAAACTAACTGTAGGAAAGAATGCGCGCCGGAAAAAATGCGATTTTTTGGCTTAAAATTTTCCAAACAGTGCCCAAAATCGCTATTTTTGGCGCAGAAAATTTGGGCAAAACTGGGACATTTTAGTGCTTTGGGAGAGCTTGAAAAATCATTTTGATCGACCTAAAAACAAAGATAGAGATTGCTTGTATGAAGGTAGAAGCTTTGAGTTTCTGTCTGCTCGTTCATTTCTATGTAAAAATGTTTGATACGTAAATTTTGATGTAAATACCTATTTGAAGCACAGAGTGATGCATTTAGGTCTATGCTAATAACAGAGCCACCTAACTTATACTTCAATAGCACGACATATTTTCCGCTCTTTTTGTCCCAAATTAGTCAAATTGAAAATTTTTAAACCCCCATAAAATAACAAATTTAAAAAAAAACCGTTTATTTTAAAAAAACCGCTCAAAAACCGCGTAAGATATGAACGATTTTTTGAGTGGTTTATCTAAAAAACCGCGCAAGATTTGAGCGGTTTATCTAGAAAAACCGCTCAAATCTTGCGCGGTTTTTGTGCGTTTTTTTTGGATAAACTGTTCAAAAACCGCTCAAACCGCTCATTCTGAAGCAAGATTATGAGCGCAATTGTCTAAAAAAAACCGCTCAAACCGCTCAAATCTTGCTTCAAATTAGGTGAAAAATCTCGATTCGGGATTAGCTGCTTGCGCTTGTGATTAGATAACAAAAAAATCATGCGTTTCTTATCCCAATAAAGCAATTCATCATTGTTCGGATCCTCATAGTTTTGCGTGAAATGATATCACAGAAAATAATCAAAATTACCAATTGTCAGCGGACACGAGGAGTCTTTATTTGCTAAAATTTTTAAGGAAAAGTGTATGTTCAAGCAGGCTGAAGCCTTATTCTTCTCAGGTCAGCAGTGATCAACATCTACGCCCCTCCAATTAAAAAAAAACTGATTTTTATATCAAGGTGATGCCCTGAGTCTTCCGACTGCACTTAGAAGCCGAGTAGAAAAAATGAAAAAAAGTTGTTTGTTTTAGAAAAAAATTCGAAAAAGTACAAAAGACAAATGGTTCAAAATTATCAGATGAATTTTCATGAAAGGTTTATCAATTGTCATTAGATTCCACGTACAATAAATAAATTTGTTTGGGCATCATTTTTTGGCGGAATCCAGTGATAAAAACTCTGTAACACATGTATAACATGTATCACTGGAATTCAGATTTATTATAAAACTTAGCTGGCATTGCAATGTATTGCTCGCTACGAATTGTCACCTGCGACGAATTGTCACCATGCCTGATAAAGTATCAAATATATTTTTTTCTTTTAATTACTACTTTTTGAAAAGTTGAAAACTACCTGAAAAGTGATTTGGCGCAACATCATTTGAGTTGCGCACTTGGTCATCAAGTGGTCCCAAATTAGTTGAAACCTGTAAAGAAGTGTCTATGTCCAAGCAGGTTGATGGCCTACATATGCCAGGCATGTTCAAATGATGTTCAGGGTTTTCCTGCTCGCGTTCGCTCCTCTCTTGCTTCCTGGGATCATCGTCACTTCCGCCACTATCTCGATAAAAGTCCGTTTTGTTGGGAGGCCAAAAAGTAGCGGAGGAATCCGTCTCAGCTGTTTGAAAAAGAGCAGCCACTTTTCTCGGCTCATCATTTGTAGTATCAAGAAAAGTCTCAGCGGATCCGTTCGAATTTTGAGCACTTGCAGAATAGTCCTGACAAGTGTACTGTTCACTCCCAGTGGCGTAAACAGGAGTTGTTTCATTGGTGAAACAATCTGGCCTCTTTTCAGGGCACGTTTTTATGGTTTTAATCTGGCTATTGTTGTTGTCGATGGAGTTGTTGTCGGGTAACCAGATCGATGAATCACACTGCGGCAGTTGAAGATGCAACTCCTGATGATCATTATGTTTATCCTTGTGATGTGATACTTGTTGTACACTTTCTGCTTGTAGTTCCTCATGATGCTGAGGCTCCTGAAAAGTAGCCGAATGGACATGCTGGAACTGCTGATGATTCTGCTGGACTTGGTCAGTGAGTTGGCGTTGGTCAGATTGGTTGAATGTCTTACAAGATGCATTGGAATGCGTCACAACTGGTGGAGCTGTGTTTGACTGAAAGCGAGCCAAGGCACTGGAAAAAGTGTTCTTTGTGAACTCCAGCATCGTGGAACATGGAATCAGACAGTAACCAGATAGGCACTATTCAGTAGTAGATAGACACCACCCAAACAACAATTATAATGTATTTTCTCCACAAATCCATGTTGTTTGTTCTTTGTGTGTTTGTTTTTCTGAGCTGATCAGTTTTGTTAAGAGAAGAGGGACAAGGAGTGAGTATAAATTGTGGGAAATTGAGCGGATTGCCCGATTGTAACTGAAATGGATAGATATAAGTGGAAGTTAGGCGGCGGCACTAATGGCAGCAGATGCAGATAATTAAGAGCAGCCCTGCGCATTCTGCATCCGGCCAAAGAAGTGACACTGCAGCGACTGCGCATACAAACCCACTTGCATCATGCTTGTGGATATTGCGAATGGTAGGACTATACAAGTGTATTGTTCAGTGATGGTCTTGATTGCATTGTTCTCTGCCTGTTCTGTCCCTTCTTCCTATTGCAATTGCAGTACTGATGCAATAACGGCGCTGATTAAACTGTGATGATGTGTTTATTGCGGTTTTGATGGTAAATGTCCCCCCGGAGTGCCCGATTGGCAGCTATATGGCGGCATAGAAGAGAAAGAAGCACTGCTAGCATAAACAGATTATGTTGTACAGATTAGTTGTTCACGCAATCACGATGCCATGGCCGTGCTTGTGTGGTGTCTAGCATTGTTGATGCCTTGTTTTCATTTAATTCCAGTGGCCACCGCTTATGTCGTTTGATAGAGTGTATTTCTGATTGGAGAATACCTTTGGATAATGACGGTTGATGTGGTCTGCTATTTGGTATATCTCTGGCTCAGCCATTCGTAGCTGGTACATTTGCTGTCTCTGAATTAAATGTAATGCCAGCAGTATTCCGTACTCATAAATAACTAAACACGAAAACAAACTATATGCGAAGGAGCGTGACAAAAGTAAATGATTGAGAACCAATGTTGCAACTGCAGGATACTGGGGGGATTGTGGCGATTTGAACAGATTAGAAGGGAGTGTGGATTGGGGAGTGGGAGTGGGTAGGGGGGTTGTGTTTTTTTGTTTTTTTGGAATAATTCGTTCTGAAGTGGACTTGATAGCAGGTGTGTGTATAGTATGGTCATTGGCTGTGGCCGCCGTGGCCATTTTGTGCCGATGAAGATGCTGAGTGACCATACATTAATGGAATAAAAGGAGGACCCACAATAATAGGATATATTTCACTACTCATTCACTACACACTCTTTTCTGAACCTGCAGCAGCGGAAAACACGAGGAATTAACAGTAAAACGGATAAAAAATTATTCTCAGCATCAAATCAAACAGCAATATTTCATTTTTTTCAGGTGCTGAAAAGGAAAAAGGAAACTTCTCTCTACACGTTGGCGACAGAAATGCAGTGCCTATAACAGCATAAATAAAAGTTGACGTCGATATTTTTGATGTAGTTATATTTATTTCTGCAAATTTAATCGGCCTTTTTTCAGCTTTTTTTCTTATAACTTTTCGGTAGTACATAGAATGAATTTTAATTGGCATCTTGTTGTGTTTAAACTTTTTAGCGTGTTCTTTTTTGTTGGATTTTGGGTCTATTGCCTGCTTTTCACTACTTTCCACAGTTTGTTGTTTGTTGTGTAGGTTAAAGGGTAAGAAATAACATAGTTAATCTATAAATTGTTTGTGTTGTTTGTGTTGTGTTGTGTTGTTTGTTGTTATTTGTAGCACCAGCAGCCTCCAAGTAGAGATTGGGGGGAAGGTGAAAAGAGAAAGAGTTAGCAGGACAGGCAGGCTGAGCAATAAAAGGAGCAGAAAACATCCTGGAAGCAGGAGAACTGCAGAGAAACAGAGAAGAAACAGAAGAGAAGAGCGCCATAAGCAACCATCCATAGCTAGTGTGCTGTTTGCAGTGCAGTGCAGTGGAGGAGACAGAGAGAGAGAGAGAGAGAGAGAGGCTGCTGTGTCTAACCACCATTTCCCGCTATGCCTCAAACAGCACTATGGCGCCACCGGAACCACGCAGCTCATGTCCTGCTCTTCCATCACTTACCTGTGGGTTAACTAACTGCACTGCCTACGCAAGCGATCAAATGTCTCTCTCCTCCTCCTCCTTTTCCTCATCCAGTCGAGGATAAGAGAGAGAGAGAGAAGGAAAGAATAATTAATTCAGTGATAAGTTAGTGGGTAAACGTATCCAATGCATAAACAAGTCTAATGTACTACTGTTCAATTAGAACACTTCTTCTGCCTAACATGCTAAACTATTCCGCAAAATAGTCCGAATGATTCATTCACTTGGAGAAACGACACTTTGTCAAACAATTAATGTCAAATAATATGTGTCGCCAAAAAATGTCGTCAAATGTCAATTTATGTGTCGCCAAATTGTGTGTCGCATTCAAACAACTGCGTGTCTTTGGATGTCGTTTTCGGCGATATGGGACACGTTCTGGCTGTAGTAGCCGACAGATCTATCAGCAGTAACTTCAACTGTGTGGTGTAGTCGATGCAGTTACCCGGTAGAACACACTCATTGGTGGCAAACACAACTTGGCAATCTGTTTGCGTGAATGAATGAAAAATAAAAGAGAAAAGAGAGAGGGGGCTTAGGAGAAGTGAGAGAAAAGTAAAAAGATGGAAGTGATTTGAAGTTGAAGCTGTTCTTTTTTTTATCTCACTTACTCTATTAGTTGCATTAAAAATGACAGGAGGGCATGAGGAGAAATAGGAGAAGAGAATAGGGGTAAAATACGGGCAAATTTCTGGCAAGTAGTAGCTAAATAGAAACCTATACTTCTCTGGAGAAGTGAAGACAATTCACACTTTTCAACAGCTTTTTCTATTGTCTTCAAAAAGGTGATGAATCCAGAACTTTTGACTTGAAAGAGAAGTATCAAAGGTTGCATCAAAAGAATTGCTTTTTGTACCAGAAATTCTCGAAGCGCGCAGCGGTCACTTGCCTATGAAGAAATCAGGCAGCACCATGGTAAGAAAGAGTCAGTGACATTAAGTAATAAAAAAGAAAATGCTGATTTAGAAATATTCGAAGTTTGGTTTTCTAACATAATGTAAACTCTGTCTGAAAACCTCCATACTGGTCCACAGGTGTTACAAAGTCTCTATAGGCACATGTCACGACTAGTAGAAGTAGTGGCCTTAAAATACAACGACTACACGTTTCAGGGTTAAACTTAGTTTCTGGAAAACAATTTTGGACAAAGGTAGAATTCCTTCCAGGTTTCTAAATAGTTCTCATCAGTAGGATGGTAGGAAGGCGCTGCTGCTATAGTTGTTATCGGTTTAAAAAATGTGCGTTTGCTGCTCTGCCCAATACCCCCCCCCCCCCCAAATGTGGTGAGGAGAAGGGAGGGGGAGGGAGTTGGAATTGTTTTGCAGTTTGAGAAGGCGTCGGTTTATAAATCGAGCTGGTCATACAGTCAGAACGTTTCGCAAAATTTGTGCATTGCTCATGTGATAAAAGCAGAACGTATTGCAAAAGTTTACACGACGCGAAACAAAACTAAAATGGAAAAAACTAATTGGCTAAATCTAATACAATTTTAGATTTGACAAAACAGTGGAATATCATATTTTTCTAAGCCAAAAAATATAGGTCAGTTTTTAAGCCCAGAAGAGAAATTCAAAGAAAGGTTGCAGTTGCACAAAATCCAAAAATAGCTCAAGTACATCTAAATTTAGGTCGAGCTCCGTCGAATTTCAAAAAGAGATCCAGCACCGTCGCGAGAAAAATCAAGCGAAGTCGAATTATAGATCGAGTGCATCCAAATTATCGGTTGAGCACATTGGAAACATACGTCAAGCGCAAAATAATTAAAAACAAGCTAATTTTTGGCGGATTTAGAATATAGGTGAAGCACTGCTTTTGACTCCACTTTCGTTTCAACAAATAATTTCTTAAAATCAAAAAATTTCTTATTTTTTTTCAAAATCATTTAAAAAATTAAGATCTGCTCAAGAACTGTTCTCGTTCAAAGTGCTGCTTTCAGCAAGCTTCAATTGAGAACAAATTGTTGACCGCAACCCAAAAAGCTCAGGGAAACTGTTTGAAGAGGTCGAGGTCTAATAGTAAAAAGAGAGTATGTCTTTGAAGTCTTCCGCTGGTATAGTTTTTAATTTCAATAGTAGTTTTATTGCATTTCTTGCAAATTCGTTAGTAACTGACTTCAAAAAAAAATCAACAATTTTTTGAAAAATCTCTCACTACGTCAAAAACTCCCCTGGTTAAAATTCCACAGGTTAAAAACTCCACTGCTGCTGCGTACTCTTCTGGCTAGGGTGGAATAATAGGCTAGGGTGGAAATGAAACAACTGTCATTCAAAAATCAAAGGGCTGACTTAAACTCTTTGCCGCTCATTTTGAGTTTTGTTGGTACAAAAAATTTGGTAGTTTTTATTACCTTTGACTCACTCTAGTACCTACCCCCTCCCCCCTGTTGGAGTAATGGCGGATTACTATACTACAGATAATTTAATGGTTGATTTAGGCACCGTAGCATGGAATTTGAAAAAACCGAAATTTGTTAATAAATGAACTTGAAATAACCGAAATTTGTTAATAAATGAACCTGAAATAACCGGAATTTGTTAATAATTGAAAAAGTGTGTGCTTAAAAACTAGAAAAAAAATAGTGGGTTTTAGTGCAGGTAGCTCAAAACAGTCGGAGCCCATCTTTTAGCAAAAACAAACAAAAATAACAGTTTTATGTCACATTATTTTTTGGACATTGAAAAATATTTTTTTTTGCCATGTATTTGATGAAAAAAACTTCAAAAAATGGTTAAAGTAGCTGAAATATTGCTTAAAACTGTATTTAGTTATGAATAAAATGATTATTACGAGGCCAAACGGTATCTGAAACCAGTCGAAATCAGATTTGTCGTAGAGTCCGCAACATTAGTAAATTATTTTAAACTCCTTTGCTGTTTTGGATTCCAAAAAAAGCTACAAAACTGTACCGCTCGAAATTGCTCCAAGAACAGGCGAACTTGCCGAATCCTTAACCAGCTGTGGAATTCACAAACAATAACAAAATATAGGTAAAGTAAAATCCGCGACTAAGCGAAATCCACAAACTGTGAGCGTAATCCGCAAATTTCAGTTACTTACAAAAAGCGTTTTGAACTAAACCTTTTATTTACCAATCTCAATCAGTCACCAGCGAGTTCAATCTCAATAATTGCTAACGATCGAGCTACCACTTGTAATACCACACGTTCGATCTCAATTTCTGCCAACTCGCCACCAACTTCAATCTCAATTCCTGGCTCGATCTTACCCCCAACTTCGACTTCAATTTCTGGCACTTTACACCCAACTTCGATCTCAATCTCCGCCAGGTTCAATATCAATTCTTGTTATCTTTCACTTCGATCTCAATTTCTGTCTCCAATTCTATCTCAGTTCCACCTCACTTCGATTCCAATTCACTTCGATCCTAACTCCACCTAGCTTCGATCTCAATTCCACTTCTCACTCCAATCATCCCATCTTAAATACTGATGATTTGAAATCACTGGATCCTCTAAAAACCCAAATAACAAAATTATTTGGCGATTGTTTCCAAATTGATTTCAAAAAAATAGCTTGCTGGAAAACGTTCATTTGAGCTTTTAAATGTTCATACTATTAACTTTTATTAGAAAAGCTAGCTATATTCGCTTGTTAAGGAACCTGCGACAAAACAATTTTGCCGACAATATTTATTTGTATTTGGACAGGCATTTGTACTCGGAACCCCCGGAAAGTTTCAAGTGGAATCCACTTACATTTTACAACCTGTTTAAAACCTTGTCTCTGGAAACCAGGAACATGCAGACACAAAATTGTGCGCCTATCCAGTGCTTATTTTGGCCTCGTTTTGAAATAGCAAAAAATCAGTTTCTTGGCACCTTAAAAATGATTTCAAATTTTTGATCGACCTAATACTAAAATAAACTCACGCAGCACCTACATACGCCTTAACGCCTCAATTGCCACTGGTATGACTTATTTCTTTTACAATCATAGTCGAATTCAGTCTCAAGAAAAAGTTCGACAACTTTTCTGAAAAATTGCCGCCTCCTCACAAAATTCCACTGGGTAAAAAATTGCTTGGAATTGACAAAGCCGTTACTCAAAACTCAAAGGGCTGATTTAAGATCAGCAAGCGGCAACATCTTCACCGCTCGTTTTGGGTTTTGGCTGGTTAAAAAGTTACTCAATCATAATGAAAACAAAATAATGATTTTTTTTTCAAATTTAGTTCACTCTAGGCTTCCTCAAACTGATCTGTTGGCGGCTGTTCTTTGTGTTGCATCGTATTCGTTCTTTTCTTCTTCGTCTTCTTCTTCTTCTTCTTCTTGTTCTTCTTCTCTTTGCCCCTCCTGCTGCCGACTATGGTGCTGCTGCTGTGTGATGGCGTGTTCTCGGGCCACCAACACCACCTGTCCCTCACAGTCTCTGTCCACATGTACTACATCTGGCATGGAACACATCACTTCAAGCACCTGACACACACCAGATACAGTGAGTTAATTAAAAGGACACATGGCAAATTCATTTACAATTTCACAAACAGAGAGTTATCTCCACGAGTATCTGTTTTGATCAGCAGAGCAGATTTATGGATTTTTATTATGTTTCTTTTTCAAGCCTGCAGAAGTTTGTTTAAATTGTTTCAACTGTCATGTTGTTCCATCAGCGACCAAAATGCCAACCCAGTATTAATCTTCTTGAAGAATCTTGAAGACTTATCAAAGTAGGCAAAGAAACTTTTTACATTTCTTATGTGTTCTATAAGTCCTTAAACAATTAAAAAGTCAGGATAGCATCCTCAAAAACTTGTTTCATGGCTCTGCAGTTCACTGAGCAAGTTTGATTTTTTTTCGTGAAATCTTAGAAAAATTTTCAAGATTCTTCAAGATTTTTCGGAGATGGTTCAAGATGTTTAGAAATAATCAATCTGCAAGATTGTTGACACAAATTTGCCACGATTGCTGAGCTGGGAAGAAGAAATTTTGTCCTACGGTGTGTTCTGATTTCAAATAGAAACAGAAACATGAATTATTTTATTGCGTTCACAAAATGTGACGCCGCCGCCACCACAAAAGAAATATGTTTTTATTCCCTTGCAAAAGGAAGGGAAATGCTATTGGAATAATTCGTATAACGTTTTAAGCATTGAGAACTGAAACGACTATTCTCATTCAATGCGAATATTAACGATTCCTCTCGTAAAGTACGAGCATACGAAACACTCTTCTCGTAAAATACGAATGTACGCATAGAGAATACGAAGTTAAGAAGTAACTTCTCATTTGATACCAAAAGTGGCGTGATTTCCCCATTTGAGTATAAATAGAAGCTCAAAAATACGGTAATTCATTCCCAACAATTTCTCTTCTAACATCACAACCTCCCTCTCTAATATCCCAACAATTTCTCTTCTAACACCAACACCACTCTCTTCAACCACCCCAACCATTCTCTATAAAATATCTCCAATCTCACCCCTAAAATAAATATTGAGTCAAAAGGCAACTTTCTGTAAATTCAAACTAACTTCTTTTCTAATAAAATATTTCTCAGCGAATTTTAGATTTACTTTCTAAGATAGAAAGTAGAAAGGACCCTTTATTCTTAGCAAGCGTTTTTTTCCGACGTATATAGTTTTGCTAGTGTAATAAATTGGTGCGACCAGTGAGGCTCACCTTCTAAAATTTCGCTAAAATTGCTTAAGTCTCAAAAAGAGATAAAAAGCAAAAAATCCAATTCTCAAACAGGAGAATTCTTGATTTTTTTTTTTACAAATAAAGAGAAGTAATAAATTTCCAAATCGGAAATTTAAGTTTTCTAAACAAATTTATAAACTTTTCTATCTTTCTTTTTGAAGTTTTAAACTAAATATAAAATGGCTGATACCCCAATATCCCATCCCAACTTGTCTTTAATGACATTTTCGGGAAACGATCCGAACCAAAATGCTACAGCATTTTGGAATTCAGTTGAAATCAAAATTCTTTTCTCATTAGGTCAAAGACCTGCTGATAATGATGCACTACGCAGCTATGATAGCAGACAACGATCCCTATTCGGATCATTGTTAACTGATACATCTCTTGAATGGTTCAATGATAATGTAACCAATGCTAACACATGGTTTCAAATCAAAGATCTATTCCTAAACAGATTCACTGACGGACGAGATCAATTAAAACATAGAATTGATGCTGAAAATGCAGCTCGCCAAGATGGCGAATTAATAAAAAATTATTTCCACAGAATCAAATTTTCTGTAGATAGAGGATGGCCCGAAAGTATTGATGTAACCGTTCATGCTACTGAAGATGCTCAAAATGCTGAGAGAACTATACAAACCAGACAAAGAAGTCAAAATTATATTGATTTCTCAATTAAGGGACTAAGACCTCTAGCCCTTAAACAAAAAGCTCATGATAGAGCATCCAAATTCCAATTGGGATCAATTCACAAATCATGTAATCACTAAGGGTCTAACGTTCATTGGTGCTACTGATCCTGCTAATAAGTCAACAACGGATAAAATGACTTCATTAGAAACTCATATTAAAGAACTAACTAAATTGATCAAGAATCGAGAAGTTAGTGCAATCAATGATAAGAATTCATTTCACCAAAGTCACCCTGACATCAAGGGAAGACCTAACAGTACACGATTTTGCGAATATTGCAGAATGAATGGACATTTTATATCTAGATGTTCAAAATAGCAAGTTCAGGACGAAGTAAATAAGTTGCGCAAAGAGCTCACAACAAAAAATGAACGAAGAGTTTGATTTGAAACCGATTATAAACGAAATCGAAGACCGAATAACTTCCCTAACCAGAATAACACTAACCCAAGCAACCGGTTTTGGGATAACCAAAACAGAACTACTAACAATTCAAACCCTAGCCAAAATAATTATAGCGTTCGCCATAATTATAACTACAACGGAAACAATTTCCAAAAGGCTAATGCACAATCGTCTTTCAATACCAAAAGGCCCAAATTCTATGATGATAGGTATCCCAGAGAAAACAAATTCAGAGAAAATGAACAAGTTGCTAAACAGTTCTACGACCAAGAAAATAGGCAATTCAATAGTAACCTTAGAGGTCGACCATATAACACTGGAAGCTATAATAGCAATAACAGTCGAGACTCAACGGGATCTCAATCACCAATTTTTAGATCGAATCAAATACAGTCTGAAACTACCCACTGGGTTGAGGAAGAGGTCAATTACTGTGATGCGATCACTGATTTCTTTCCTTTAAACTATTGCGATGATAGTAATCCTAAATCAAGGATATATCTTAGCTTATATCATTTTGCCACCGGAGACAAAAATAATAATAGTGGACTTGAAATTGAATTCATGATTGATCCAGGATCAACTTGTATATCATAAACTACCCAATTTATCAGGAATTGGAAAAATTAGGTTAAAAAAATGACAATTTACCGATCCAAAATTAAAGCAAAGACTTATAATGGATCTAATATACGTATGTTTGGCCATACATCTATTCAATCTTGTTTCGACACTGATGGAAAGTATCCATCTAACCACAAAGTGTGGATAACTGAAGAAAAGACTGCTAATCTATTCTTAAAAGCTCTCTACTTTGATATCCCCGCAGTTGAGCTAAAATCAAAAGAAGGTGTAATATCCTACGGGTTGATGAACAACGATAAAGAATATCCTAACGTTTCAAAAATTGTCTCAATTAACTTGAAAGAACCCTGGTTCAGTCCAGCACGCTCTACATACTTATACAAACCTTTGGCTGAACCAAATTCATAGTTCGAAAAAGGGACTACATTCTTGCCTCATAAAAATACAACCAAAACCGAATTGGTTTTCATTAATACAGTTTGTACTCAAATTGAGCAAAGCCTACCTATCCTTATTGAGAATCAGAAAGATCATCCTGTCACACTAAACAAGTGTGTACTAGGCTATGCAGAAACTGATATTCAAGGACACGAGGATAAAATATTTGCTATCCACGATTGTGATGAGTTCACAACGAGAATTTTAAACGAAAGTTCGGAATTTGATAGCTGTTTCATGCTGAACACTGTTGTCAATACAACACAGGAAAGCAACACTCAATTATCCGGCCCCTGTCTACAATATGTGGACTTCAAAAAAAGGTCCATATTCGAATCGAATATGCCCATTGCCCATACAATCTCTGCAGATAGAGCAATGAAAAAAGGGTTTGCTGAATCAATTAGCAAAAGGTACCCTGAGCTACGACACTTTTGTAACCGAATACATGCTAACATTAACGATATTCTTATCTTCACTGATCCAAAATCTGGACAAATCATATATAACCTGATTACCAAACAGAAGAACTTTCAGAAACCCATTTACGACGCTATATTCAACACCTTGTCCGAAATGAAAGATCATGCTATAGCAAACAACATTCGATCTATCGCAATGCCCAAAATTGCTTGTGGCTTAGATAAAATGAATTCGGAAGAAGTTTCCAAAATCATTGTCGATGTATTCCAACATTCTGGAATTAGTATATTTGTCTATGTTTCAGGACAAGAAATCAAGGACAGGCCTGCCCTTGAAGTGTTTGATACAGAAAATGTATCAGAAATATTTTAACAAATTGGTTCAGATATAGTCAAAGTATGCAAAAATGAAAACGAAATAGCAACCGACTTTTCTAATGATGCAAAGAACCTTTGCAGGCCTCCCTTGAAAGAACAATTTAAAAAGTACCGAAACAAAGAACATAATGATCGGCTAATTGCCTTTCTTGTCAACGAAACGTTTACCCAATACTCCTCAATTGATAAGGACAATAGTAGCACTTTGGAAAAAATCGAAACTACTATTAAATTCTTATCTGACTTCAATTTCACACAAAGTGATATATCGGATGATGAATTTGCAGATCTAATTTAAATGCTGATAGAGGATCAAGTTGTTTATTCTCATCACAAATATGATATTGGAAAAACAAAACATAAATTCCATATACCACTCAAAAAGGACGCAATATTCAAAAAACAACGACCTAGTAAAATCCCAGTCCATCTAAGAGATAAATTGGACAAGTTAATGGATGAATTAATCCAAGCAGGCATAATCAGAGAACTAAAGGAAAAAGATGATATGAACTCATGGTTCGTAAATCCAGTCATCATTCTTCCAAAAAAAGACTACGTTAAGTTGGTCTTGGATGCTAGTTATCTAAAATCAATCACAGATACTAGCAATTGTAGTTGGCCATTAGAACCACTACAAGTTCTCATGACCAGAATAAACGGATCATACTTCACAAGTAGTGATCTCTCTTGCGCCTACCATCAAGTACCTCTAACAGATGAGGCACAGATTTCAACAAGCTTTATCGTAGATGGTAGACAATATACCTACCAAGTTGGTTTCTATGGCTTGAAACCACTTCCAAATTTCTTCAGTAAATTGATGAGATATGCCTTCGGACCTCTCAT